TCCTGCCTCCAGCCCCTCCTATTTCCCCTCCATCAAAATCCTGCCATGCATGAAAGTTGGCAGTCTCTTTTTCTTTGATTATATTTAATATATATATATATATATATATATATATATATATATATATATATATAATTTTGCTTTTTGAATGTGTACAGGTATAACACTAGCCATTCTATATCGGACAACGAATAAGGGGGTTCATTCCTGAGAAAGGCTAATTTTCCTTCTCCTAGCAGTCAATAGCTAGCTGCCTGTAGTTCTTTGTCTAGGGATTGGATCCTATTATCCCCGTCTTGGTTTGCAATCAATTATAGGAGAGACTGTCCCTGGCACAGGAGCTGGCTTTTTGAAACCTGTTCCCTATGTTGGGATGCCTTGCAACAGGAGAGACTGTTCCACAGCAGACTTCTTGGCAGTTTGTCTCTTACAGTCTTTCTATCCTGTCTTCCATGATGTTTTCTGAGTTATAAATATACAATCTGGGCTCCCCACTATCCTTGGTTCTCTGCATTGTGTCCAGTTATGGTTCTCTGTACTGGTCTCCATTTGTTGCAAGGAGAAGCTTCTTCTTCTTTTTTTTTTTTTTTCCTGATGAGGGATCATCTCTTTTTTTTTTTCTTTTATTTTACAATACTATTCAGTTCTACATAACAGCCACAGATTCCCTTGTTCTCTCCCTTCCTACCCCCCCCCCCCCCCCCCCAGCCCACCCCCCATTCCCACCTTCTCCAGATCAAAGTCTCGACCTGATAGACTCAGTCTAGGCAGGTCCAGTCCCCTCCTCCCAGATTGAGCCAAGCGTCCCTGCATAAGTCCCAGGATTCAAACAGCCAACTCATACAAGGAGCCCAGGACCTGGTACCACTGCCTAGATGCCTCCCAAACAGATCAAGCCAATCGACTGTCTCACCTATTCAGAGGGCCTGCTCCAGTTGGGGGCCCCTCAGTCTTTGATGCAGGGTGAGTGCTACACTTCACTGTGGGTTTAAGGATAAAAGTCAGAATGTAATAAGGGTTTATACTGGTCTAGAAAAATGGCAGTAGTAAACTTTTTTTCTTTTCTTTTCTTTCTTTTTTGGTGGGGAGGGTTCAAGACAGGGTTTCTCTGTGTAACAGCCCTGGCTTTCCTGGAACTCAGTCTGGTAGACCAGGCCAGCCTCCAACTCGCAGAGATGCACCTGCCTCTGCCTCCCAAATTCTGGAAACAAAGGCGTGCACCACCCACTCCTAGGTAGTAGATTCTTTTATTTATTTTTTTCACCTATTTTACATACCAACTGCAGTTTCCCCTCCCTCCTATCATCCTGTTCTCTCCTCCCACCTCCTTTCTACCCCTCCCCATCCACTCTTCAGAAAGAGTATGTCTTCCCACTCAAGTCAACAAAGCATGGCATATTAAGTTGATGGAGGACCAAGCTCCAAACCGCCCCCCCCCCCATCAAGGCTGAGCAAGGCATCCCAACATAGGGAATAGGTTTCAAAAAGCCAGCTCCTGCGCCAGGGACAGATCTTGGCCCCACCGCTAGGAGCAACAGACAGATCAAGTTACACAACTACCATCCACATGCAGAGGATTCATCAGTTAAAAAAAAAAATGGCATCATGAAATTTGCAGGCAAATGGATGGAACTAGAAAAAAATTATCCTGAGTGAGGTAACCCTGACCTAGAAAAACAGACACAGAATGTACTCATTCATAAGTGGATATTAGATGGAAAGCAAATGATAACCTGGCTATAATCCACAGCCCCAGAGAAGCTAAGTAACAAGTAGACTCTTTTTTAAGGTTCATGAACTCTCTAGTCCCCAGAAGTTGGTTAGGTTTTCAGTAATAGATATGATTCCCCTTTTATTGAGTTGACCTTCAATCCAATTACACAGCTGTTGGTTGTCATTGACATGTGATTGTCACACCTTGCACTTTTATGTGTATCTTGCTATGCTGGTAATTGTCATGGATCATAGGTGATGCAGCTGGCTAGGACTATGTAACTGCTTCCCTCCCTTGGAAGTCTGCATGGTATTTTCTAGAACCAGGCAAGCTAGATCTCAGGAAAGAAGCTTTCAGGTCAGACTTGGCTAAAATTAAATTAAATATGAATGCTACATCCTAATGGTGTGGTGTCTTCAACAATAGGGTCCCACACTAAACCCCTGAGAAGCAACTGAGGGCTATGTCAATAATCTATATTGTTATGGGAGTCACTTAGACTAACCTGACCAACCTTTAAAAGAAGGACTCTCATGGCCCACACTGGGATTTTTGTTAGTCTATGGTTCTTATAGAAAGTATTGTCAGCCCAAGTAGCTGAATTTTCTTTCAAATATCTTGTGTATACTTTTAGGTAAATACAAAATAACATTATTACTCCAGGCTTCCTCAAACAATACTAGCGAATGATGAAGCAATATGAGGTGAAATGGTCTAGCGATAAGTGAATTTTTGAAGGAAAGGAGTTATTCCTCCAGGTGAATGCCAAAGAAACAGAAGCTTGTGAAAAGATGGGTTTCCCATCTGCTTGGGAGCTAGGAATCCCTCATTCTCTCACCATTCCTGTTAGTCATGTTTTTCAAATACATGGCTGTAGTTCCTGATACGTAACTGTCTGCTGTCTCATCCTTCTTTTCTCTGAGAGTCCGTGTGAGAATTAACCTTGATTGTCATGTGAAGATTAATCATAACGGTCACCCAGGAGACTGAAGAGGTCCTCCTGAGCATGCTTGAAAGGATGGATGTTTTTGGAGTAGATTAACTGAGTGGGAAGACTCATCATGATATGCGTACCACCGTATAGTTTGGGGACCAATATAAACTAAAAGAGAAAGCATAGGGAGCCAGGAGAACACAGACTTCACTTTCTTTGGCGCCTTGCCCATCCTGACATGAACTGTTATTTTCCACCAGGATAGATGAAGACTTCTGTTCCCAGGAGCCTAAATAAATCCTCCTACATGCTGTTTGTGCTGAGTGCATTGGCCACAGCACTGCTGAAGAAAAGCAATTCACACAGCCCTGCTGGTTTTTAACCTACTGTATATGTCCGTATATGTACCATATATATATACCGTATATGTCCTATGTTTTTTCTCATATTCTTAAAGATCAAGAGGCCCAATGATGGGCAGGAATCATAGCATATATTTTAATATCCTCATCACAGAATTTCTCAGTTCTGGTTTCAACCCAAGTCTTAGGAGAAGTAGGAGTCAGTTATTTCTCCCCTTCCTGTATTGGCTTCTAGTCCTGACATTCACAGTATTTTACCTTGGGGCCTGTAGCTGTACTCCATCACCCCAGAATAACACAATGTTCTTCACTCTCCTATGGTCTTTGCTTTACTTTCAATAATTCTGTTTGTCAAAAATGGAGGTCTATATTTTGTTTTCTTGTGTAAAGTCAAGAATTTGGCAATGATTAATCATACTGGTGATTCAACAGCCAATGTTCTTGCTGCAGGTCCTCCCACATTTTCACATTTAGAGGCAGCAAGCAGAAACTAAGAGTCTGTTTAATAGTGAGTGGCAGGATAATGTTCAGAGCTTTCCATAATTCTGATCAGGTGGAAAAGGACTTACCATTTCTTACTTCTTCACTTTGAGCTATTAAAGATTAGTTTTGAATGTCATCAGGAATGTAGAAGACAAACAATGAACTAGCAGACCTATTTATCCCATCTCTTGACCATCTCAAGACTCTGTCTAAATGGGTTGTGTTATTAGTGATTTTAACTTTCCCTTGAAAATACTGTATTTTTTGAGGACAAGATTTATTTGTCTGTCTTATTGAATATATTACAAAAGGCATGCCAGTGTTACATGGACTATGAATATTGCAGTAGATGAGTACTCAACTTTTTTAGGGTCATAATACAATATCATCTCACAGTCAGTAGTGACCTACTATGAAAGCTTCATATGTGAGAGATAGTTGGAAAGAGCCATTCAATTAATCTCACCCTTTAGCCCTACCTGTGGCACTCATACCCACACCCTTACATATAAATTATAGTATGAAAGCACCTTCAGTTCAGTAATGTTGTTTGATACTGTTGCTATTTATACTTCTTTTATTCTTAGCATGCATTAAGAAAATTATTTAGTGCCATTACTTGGACATTTCTGTGAGCAAAAGGCACATGCTATAAAGTAGTTCTCAGGCTTTTAGCAAAATGATATCTTAATACTTCATACTTATCACAAATTACTTTAAGAGGAGAAAAAGGTCAGTGCTTTGTAAGACCAGTAACTTAAGACGTAAAAATAATATTAATTTAGATTTAACAGAATGGCAAATGCTTCACATCCAGAAGTCATTATTTTAAAAATAAAAGGAATAATTGTTTGAAATGAATAATGACATTGTAAGACTGGGTTAGCTCATTTCTTGTAATCCTGTAAGAAAAAGAAACATGTTAAAAATCATGAACGAATTTTATAATCAAGCATTTACTCTTCCATAACTCTTAGTGTATGCCCAATTCTCCACCTGTCTCTGTATCCCCAAAAATTATGCAAGGCTCCTCCTATACTTCTTCTCTTTCTTTTGCAATGAATGTTAGGAATTTAGTTGGAGTCACTGCTTTAGATGATTAAGATGAGAGCTTCAGAGGCTACTTGAGACTACATAAAATATAGAAAAAAAGATGACCTAGTTCTAACAGAAACATAGTAAAACAAAAAAAAATTATTGAAATTATTGATGTGCCAGATAGCACAATGATCACAATCCATTTGCCAGATCACTCATTAATTTATACTACATTCCTACTCTCAATAAATATTTGTTAAATATCTAAGATCATATAGTGATGCACCAAGCAAGTTTTTCTACTTGTTTCCCTGAGTTCTTCAGCAGGAATAAGTTTCCACTGCCTCCATCAGTGACTTGCTCACCAGCCTGTTTTTGGCTATTTGATTCTTCTTGACTCAGTCTCCCATCTCCTACCTGTGTTTCCTGGAACAATCATCCAAACAAATAGCTTGAGTTCAAGTACTCACCTCAGGGTTTGCTTCTGGGAAAGTCTGAACAAAGACACAGACAAAGTACACTGAAAAAAAAAATAGAAGGGAGGCTAGGGTAGCAAAGAGGGCTAGCACAAGGCCAGATGGCAAAGGGAATGTCCAAGATAATTGAAGAGAAATGAACTGGCCAAAGATGTAGATGCTTCTAAGAAACTATGCAGTTTCTTCTTATTGTGATCATTTATCTTATACTTCAGCTTAAAATTACATCACATTATCCTAGGGTCCTGCAGCTGCCAAATCTCAAGTGGGTCTCCCTGGGCAACTGTCAGACAGTTGTTAAGGCTGTATCCACAGGGACTTTAATGGTAATGCCTTTTCAGCCTACATTCTGGGCTCTCAGCGCCCTGCTATAGACCGAGTCTTGCACCACTGCGCTAATTCGTGCTCTAATGTCTCCTGTTTCCACTCAACGGATCCTTGTAACTTCTTTTGTCACTTCTTAATGGGCTCAGTGTCATCTATTTATCCATTTTTTTTTACTTCATGGTTACACCTAGAAAAGGCTGATTCAAATTCGAGGACACCCAAGCATGAGTTTACTGGACAAGCCTATTGGAAATTATGTCAGAGTTTCTATATAACAACAAAAATAACATTTCATAGACCAGAAGGCTCAGTGAGTAGGGGCACCTGCTGTCAAGCTTCACACATGGAAGGCGAGCATTCTCCTATCGAGCTGCATGTTCTGACCTCCAACCGAGTTAGAGTGCAAGGTTATACAATTTTACTTATTTATTTATTTACATTGTAAGATACCTCTATCCAGCAGGGCTACTCTCCTCCCAGCAACATTTTTCTTTGAATCACTAGGAAGACAATAGATTCTCCACTGGATATACTTCAAAGCAAAAATGCAAGTTTTTATGGATTTCTCCATAGAGAAATGGGATTTACAGCCATAACACTGTGTTTGATGATCCTGTGTCCTATTAAGTGTGTATCTGCCAAGCCCCTTTAACCTCTCTGAGCCTCAATCTCACCATTTGAAGATTACAGTTACAACAATCAAACTAGATAAGCACAAGTAAAAGTATAGCAAACACTGAAAGAAAAATAGAAGGTTCTTGTGACTACTTGGGGCCCACACAGCCAACAGATAATTCTTCTCCACCTTTTAAAGCCAGTCAAATGGCCATTGGCTTTCATCTGTGATTCTAATAACTTCTTGCCACATAGTCTAAAGTAGTCTCAGGTTTAGGGGAATACGATATGAATATCATTAGATGTGTCTTATTCCTCTGTCTTGAATCAACAGATAGGTTGGGTTTCTTTTAAAGTGAGATGCCAATGGGGGATATTGAACTGGAGAGTCACATGAACTAATTTGTATTTTTAGAAAGATTCTGTTCTGTGAATTAGTTGGAAAGGAACAAAAGTGAAAATGGAGAGAATAATCAGGAAACTATTAAAAGAATTAAGATGAGTAGTGGTGAGTGAGAGATATAAAGTAATAGCGTCAGAGATTTTTGAATAATCAATCAGTAGGAGCTGATGAAAGACTGTATCTTGGGGAAAAGAGAGATAAATTTCAATGTGATTCCTTTGTCTCCAGCATCTCAATGAATGGAACAGTGGTGTGTGATTTAGAAAGCATTGGCTTAGAGAGAGCAAGCATTTAGTTTTTTATAAGTTCATTTTCATATGCCTGTGAAATATATTAATGGATGTAAGCAGTCAGAAAGAGGAGTCCTTGTGATGTGTTTAACTCCAACTAATATATCTACAATGCAATGCCTACACCCAAGGCCAGGGGAGCATCACAGAAGAGGAGGTAGAAAGTTCGTAAGAGCCAGATACTCAGATGTCTGCAGCAAAATAGTCTTATGCATGTGACAGAGAAGCTGCACTCACGAAATCTCAAGAATGTGATTTAAAAATGAAACCTAAAACATGAAACCAACTGACATCTTAATATGGATACACGGATGGATGAAAATTCAGAAAGCCCTACCTCTAGATGAATAGTGACAGACAGTTGATGGTTCCTGAAAGGGAAAATCAGTCTTCTCCAGGGACGAGTCACATGATAGGTTATTTATTCCACCTGGTCACCCTGAAACATACACATATGAGCATCATTAAATGGACTAAGTAGGATATAGATAGATACGTAGATAGATCATATATAAATGATAGATGAATGATAGAAAAAAATGATACTTATAGACAGAGAGATAGATCCTTGTATATATGTGCATATATATTATATATATACATACACATAACAATCAGTGAAGATAGGAGATATCTAGTTTAATAGTGAGGGGATATGGAAGGAGTCAGAGGAGAAAGCAGGCAGAGTGGAACTGATCTAAATACAGTACTCATGTATGAGATTCTCAAAAATTTAAATTAAAAAAACTGAGGACTAGATCAAGGACATAAATTGATAACCATTAGAAAAACAAAAGAGAGAGAGAGAGAGAGAGAGAGAGAGAGAGAGAGAGAGAGAGAGAGAGAGAGAGAGAGACAGAGAGAGAGACAGAGAATATAAATAGACAGGATGACTTTAAGCACAATACCACCTGCCTTGGGTTGTTCATCCATTCTCATACTGTCACCATTCTTCTCACATTTGTCCCCTGGGAGTTGCGTGTGCTGTTTATTATGCCCTCATGTACTGTGGTCTGTGTTTGCCGTATCTACATTCACTTCTTCTTAAGCCACAGTCTGACTCGTTTTCTCAATCTTCCAGTTGTGTGATCTGTGTCTCCTCTGCTATGTGCCATGATCACTGAGTTTTGTTTTAGATCAGTGAATAGACATATTCTACAATTTTCAAGTGGTCCTTTGCCATATCTCAATTTTTCTGTTCTACAGGTTTGTTTCTTCTTGGGTATTTGTTTCATGCCTTTCATTATATCAAATATTTTCATCCTTATTTAAGTCTCTTTTAGATGTCAGTTTTTGATTATTGCATTTTTCCTTAAAGATGATGACAGGTTTATTTGTCTCATCAAAAAGATGATGAGTGTGTGGAGGGGGCTCCTTAATGCTCTTTTGTAGATTCAGCCTATCCTTTCACAAAACCATGAAGGGTTTATTTCGGGATTGGTATCTTCATGCAAATATTAGATATCACCTGGACAAATACCACAAGCAGAAGCCACTGAAACTACATCCCAGACACTGGCAAATTATTTTTTAAAAGTTTTAGCAGTTTTATTTTGGTGCTTGTATACAACAATCTAATTTTTTAATTGTACAAACTGATGGTTCAAAAAGGAACATTAGCTCAGTAAATGATCTATATAACCAAGGCAGAAGTCATAGCCTTTGGGGGCCCACAGAGGCTCCCTAGTAAGGCCTTACTCAAGGCCAGAGAATCTGAGCTTGCTTTACCCAGCAGGGCTACATAACAGGATAATTAGACCAGGGGCATGGTTATCAGGTGTTTTGAAGGGTCTACACTTGACTGTATGTTGTCTTTGATCTTGAAAGGGGGGGGTCTTTTGTCTCTCCTTTATAGTGTATAAAAAACCTATTAGAATAAATCTCGAGGTGGCTGGGTATTGACCCAAGGCCCCACTGAAGCTATCCTGTGTCTCTGTCTTTCTCGTCATCTCTTTCTATATTTCTATCTAATACTTCCTCATTCCTTTCTCCTCCCAAGAACCCTTCAACAGGTTGGAGCTAGTCTCCTGCAATAGTCTTCACTTCTGACTGTTTCCTTGAAGCTCTGTTGTTTTCCTTGTTGTTTCATCTTTTGTAAGAACACTATTTAACTTCTTAACAATTCTTTTACTGTCCTAGTTCTATGAAATATTATTGAGAAACAAAAATTGCATGTATCTTTTCTATACTGGGTAATATTTTGACATCCATATGCATTATGAAGTGATTTATTCAAATAACACGTTCCTTTACCCATCACCTGGCTCCTAAGTGCCTTGCATTCATAGGCTGCCTGTTTACTCTGTCGACTGCATTCTTGGATGTGAGAGTCTCTTGCTTCAACAGTCCTGTCTTACCATTTTCCATTTGTCCTTTGTGCTTCTCGAGAGAGAACCAAAAGACTGTTTTCTGGACTACCATCAGAAAACTCCCTCCCTGTTTTCTTCTGACAGTTTGCTTTGAAGGGTTACTCTAATATTAATATATTAATATATATATATATATATTAAACCAACATCCAGAATCCTTCTTGCGGTGTTTGCTTGTAGCAGTTTTGCAATTTGGGGTTGGATTTAAGCCTATAATTTCTTGACGTTATTCACTGTTTGATGATTTTCCTTTCTTAGTTTACTGCTTAAGCATGTCCTCAAGAATTTTATGACTTTGTTTATTTAAAAACCTCTACTCCCTTTACCGTTCTATTAAAACTGTTGCCAACTGTGTCCTGGCTAATCCTCTTTCCCACCGGGAATTCATCAGAACCTTGAAAAGTCTTCCATCTAATGCCATCACTTTTCATTTAGTAAAATAGCCCCATTTTCATTTATTCTCAGCATTCTCCCTTAGTGTTATAATTGCACATTATGCTCATTTTTCCCTTTAGTGATGTGAACTGGTTCACTATAGCCTACTGTACACATCTCTGTGCAAGACAAAGTTCAGGAATGTTCTTTGGAGCTTGAAATTACCCCAGATGGAATTTTTCACAATGTGGCAATTATCAAACACCACAGTCACGTGTTCTACAAGCAAAGGACAGCTGTTAAGCATTTGCCCCCATACTGTTTCTCCTATCTCTCAAGCCTGAAGGTGTGGCTCCTTTGTCATTGGAGGTTTGTATGTAAGACTGGATGAAGGAAAGGGTTCAATGTCTCTCACTACTCATACCTTTCCCCTTCTGTGTAGTTCATAGTCTTCTCCTGGTGCTGTACAAGGACTGTTGCAGGTTCATGGTCACCTTCTGCATAACTATTTATATCATTGATCGAACCTCTACTTGACAAGATATAATCTCCCCAAATTGTCAGAGGGACCACTTGACCTTTTGAAACTGGTTTATGTATTCTGATTCATCCTTAACTTACTTCACGGCTGCTTTCTTCTTATTCATTCTTTTTGCTCAGTATTGGAAAGACCCTGCACATGATGCAAGCATCATCTTTATGTATCCCAGAACTGGGCCTGTGACTCTAGTAGGAACATCTTCAGGATGCCATTCTTACAATGTCTCTCTTAATGATTACCAAGTATGGCCCAAGGTTCCATGTCACTTTCTTCCATATATCTCAGGCATCACCTGGCAATCCTTATGTTAACTCATGTTCACTCACAGATACCATCTCTGCCAAATAAACACTATAGTTCTTTAGTTCTCAATTTCTATTTCTTGGGCAAAGGCATCCTAAACGATTTGGTCTTTTTCACATATAAGAAAAAAAAAATATCCGTGTCTTTCTCGTCATCTCTGTCTATATTTCTAACTAATACTTCCTCGTTCCTCTCTCCTCCCAAGAACCCTTCAACAGGTTGGAGCTAATCTCCTGCAACAGCCTTCACTTCTGACTGTTTCCTTGAAGCTCTGCTGTTTTTCTTGTTGTTTCATGTTTTGTAAGAACACTATTTCAAAAAAAAAAAAGAAAAAGAACACTATTTCACCTCTTAACAATTCTTTCACTGTCCTAGTTCTATGAAATATTATTGAGAAACAAAAATTGCATGTATTTTTCTATACTATGTAATATTTTGACATTCATATGCATTATGAAATGATTTATTCAAATAACACATTCCTTTATCAGTCACCTGGCTCTTTTCCAGAATCAGATTTTCTTTCAAATGACTCTTAAAGAGCATTAACACTTTACAATAGGGCATTGTCTCTGTTCTCCAAACCACATCTCAATATCTCTGTTCTGTATTATCTGGCAACGAGACGCTGGCTTTCATATGAACTCAGTTCATAATTTATTTCTATTTTGTCAAATTCTGTGTTGTTTGAATTACTCTACCAATTGAATATAATCAAATACCAGTGGTAATATCTTAGCCAAGTAAGGAAGATAGCAAATTTTTCCATATAAAATGATGTAATGCAAACATTTGAGATACCACAAGAGAAAAATCTAGATTCAATGAAATAAGGAGAACGTAGATGACTTCATTATGAGCACTAAATTTAAATTATTTTAAATTCTAGGAAGGAAATTAGTGCTAATAGAGAATTATAAGATGATGGGGGACCCAATATTAACGTAATGACTTCTGTATAATCATCAAGACAGAGACATAGCAAAAGTAAGCAAGAAAGGAAAGAGTGTCATAAGTATTTTATACCATCAGCCAACATATCCAGGTCATAGGGAGCAGAGTATTGCTTTTATAAATTTGAGTCAGTGGGATGGAATTACACCTGTGCCTCACAGAATGACATTTTTAACATTGATATGTAATTATTATATTACTTGGGAAAATGCTATCTTCTATAGCAAATAAGGATAGAAGTACAGACTGGTTTGAAAGTAATATAAACCCTTGCCCTGAGCATGTTGATTAGATTGAGGACAACTCTCCTACACAATGATGCTGAGATGCAAACTGACAGAGTTCTCCACATATAGCAGGTGCTTTTCAGGGCCATCCTTCAGATCTTTCTCATCTTAGTTAGAAGACAGTGATTTGTGGTACCAGGACTATTTTTTTTTTCTAGCCATGTCACTTAGCTAAAGCTCAATTCTAAAAACACGCTTTATAACAAGGAAATTTTGGGAATAGTCTTGTCCAAAGAAAAGAAGAGAGCATACATTTGACCATCAGCTAGCATCAGCAAATGTAAGTATAAATATGACTTCATTGTCTGTAGATTGCTTGAAATGGAATCGCTGCTCATCTGAGTGAAACGGTATGCGTGCAGAGTATAGGCTGAAAGTGTGGATTGACCAAGTAACCTAATAATTTCAAAAAGGTAGTATATCATTTCTTTCAAAGAAAAAGAGGCCATAAATTTAAAGAAGAGAAGGAAGGGATATATAAGAAGGGTTTGAGGGAGTAAAGAAAGGGAAGGGAGAAATGCAAAAGTGTAATAATCTTAAAAAAGAATAAATCCTTCTGAAACAAAGAAACACATATAAAGAAAGTACATACCTAAGGTGGTTTGGTATG